ATCCTTAATAAATATATGTCATTTGTTCTTACACAGAAATAAACAATTTAAATCCACGCAACGCGATGCAATGCATAACAAATGTGTGAGTTTAATTTTTGCAGTCTCTGAAGAATCAACATCTTTATTTCGCGCCCTATATTCAATTTGCATTTCGTAAATTTTCGTGCTGCCATCTTCGTTTCGTCAGCCATTTTGGGAGTTAATTTCGTATGATGACAGAGCGCACGCCACCACGTAGGAGTCCTCGTTTACTTATGAATTCCAATAAGTCTGCTACCAACGATTCTGTCACCGATAACGCAGCCTGCGTTGATGTAGCGCAGAATAAGGAAGATAGCACCAGCCAAGAGCAAGACGCTAGCTAGGCGCCTCAAATTCTGAATACACATGTAGCATACACTGCAAATGCCGCCGCAGTACCTGAGTGCCTCGACAATTCGGAACGAGAGGATAGTATTGTTAAAGCTCTTCAGCAACAGATTCTTTCATTGGAGAATAAGCTTAAAAATTCTCAGGCAAAATTTACTGAAAGTGAATTTCAGAAGGAAGCGCTTAAGATAGCACTTCAAAATGCCTCAAATTCCGGGAATATAATAGCAGTTTCTGACTCATTGGCAGTTACGTCACCTGCTATTTCAAGTACAACTTATGCAAGGCCCACTGTGTGTTATACCGGATTTTCTGCTGTTGGTCCATATGCCAACAATGCCGGTGTATTGCATTCAGACACACATACTAGCAACGTTGTTGGTTCCCATGCCAGCACACTTGCGGGACCATATACGCACACAGCCGCTGCGCCATATCCACCAAATCGTATTACGCCTGGCGTCATCAGTGATGGTGCAACCAACCCGACTTCTTTTTTTTACGCGACCGCCCAGCCTATTGCCAGCACAATGTGTAGACCGTCTTATGTTCCCACCACCGCTGGAACTTATTCCAGTGTTGCCGCCGTCTCACATACGCCTTCATATAATCTTACCGCTGTTGGACACCAAGAAAGCAAAGTCTCTGCTACGTGCGCAGGTGCCACCTCTGCTGCGCATAACGTCGGCGTCAGCAATATTACTACTGTGCCTATGGCTGTTCCTGTCGCACATCCGCAATGGTATTTTGCCGATGGTGCGACTTGTCAAGCCGCCAACGTCCCTCAGCAATCAATGAGAATTCCTGAAGTACGATCAACGTCCTTTGCAACGATTCCGTCTACATTTTCAACAGGGTATAACCCGTTGGGTACATACACGCCTGGTTTAACGCATGCAAGTATTGGTAGCCTACCATCAAATGGGGTAATGGTTCTCCGTAAATTACAAGATTTGCCTGAATTTAGTGGGCACGCAGAAGACTGGCCAATATTTTTCACGGCATTTCAGCAGTCCACAAACGCGTACGGGTACAGCAACCTTGAAAACAGCCAACGGTTGCAAAAAAGCTTGAAAGGAGAGGCACGAGACACTGTCAAATCGTGGCTAATACATCCAGAGAATGTAGGTAACATTATCGAACAACTGCGTTTTAGCTTCGGACGACCAGAGCAGCTAATTCGAAGTCAGCTGTCACAACTGAGCGAAATATCACCTATTTCTGAAAGTGGTATTGTAAATTTAGTACCATTCGCTATCAAGTTAAAAAATCTCGTAGCGTTCCTGCAGTCAGCAAATGGATACCTGCATCTTACTAACCCAACACTGATAGAAGAGCTTGTCAGCAAGTTACCAATGAGCAAGAAGCTTGAATGGGCCAGATACTTGTCAACAGTACAATCGCATGCAACTCTAGTCCACTTCAGCGATTGGTTAACACAGATTGCGAATTTGATTTGCTGTGTGCAGGATTATGAAAGTCGCGAGCCATCAAAACGTCGGACTGTGTTACATGCAGTAGAAACGCAGAGTGAATGTTTTGATGAGAAACAGCAAAATCGTGCGGCAGAAAGACCACACACACCGTCGTTGAAATGTGCTGTTTGCCAAAATTAACACAAGCCAGTAGAATGCCAACGTCTCCTTGAAGCAACATCAGCTGATAGATGGAAGGAAGTTAAACGCAGCCGCCTGTGCTTTTCATGCCTCAGCCCAGGGCACACAACTCGAGAATGCCGCCGCCGTAAACCGTGCCACATCGATGGGTGCCAAAGGATGCACCATAAAATGCTTCATGATAACGATCAAAAACAAATGCAGCCCGCAAAATCCGTATGCGAGTCTCCGGCACAGCCACTTGATGTTGACAAGAAGCCGGTTCTGAGCTGCTCCAGCAGCGCAAACGAGCGTAAGCTATTGTTTCGCATACTGCCAGTAACTCTACATGGCGGAGGAAAAACCGTTGAAACGTATGCGTTATTCGACGAAGGATCGTCTGTCACATTGGTTGACAGCACGATCTCCCAGAAATTGGGTCTAAATGGCCTGAAGCGAAGCCTCAACCTACAGTGGTATGGAGGAAGAGCAACTCAGGAACCAACCGTAGTGGTGGACTTGTTCGTCAGTGGAACTGGCATGAAGAAGAAACATAAGCTTCGAAACGTTTACAGCGTGTCAAATTTGAACTTGCCCACGCAGAGCCTGAGCGAAGCAGACCTACGAAGTTCTTCACGCCATAAGCAGAAACTACCACTGGAGCCATACAGTGGAGCAGTGCCAAAGCTTCTGATAGGACTTGACCATTGCCATCTGGGCATGCCTGCTGAGATCATGCAAATTAATTGTATCGGGCCGTACGCTGCCAATACTGAGCTTGGTTGGACCGTGTTTGGGCCAAGTGTGGAAACTTCATCTAGCACGCAAGTATGTTTGTTTACGAAGCCAGCTTCAGATCAAGCGATGCATGATATGATTGCAGAATACTTCGAAACTGAGAGCTTCGGTGTAAAGCCATTCCCGCCGGTTGAAAGTGCGGCTGACCTGCGCGCAAAGGCAATTTTGCATTCAACAACACGCCGAACAAACGGTCGATATGAGACCGGCCTATTATGGAAGTATGACGATATTGAGATGCCCGACAGCTACGAAATGGCGCGAAAACGATTGATAAGCATAGAAAAGAAAATGCAGCGTGATGACAACTTTGCAAAAGTCTACAAGCAAATCATCAACTTATATGTTTCTAAAGAGTACGCAAGAAAATTACGACCCGAAGAGGCCGCTGCATTCACCAAGAAGACATGGTATTTGCCACACTTTGGCGTGGTTAATCTAAATAAGCCAGCCAAATTACGTCTCGTTTTCGACGCCGCCGCAGAGACACATGGAGTGTCACTCAACTCGCTACTCCTGAAAGGACCACAGGATTATAGAGCACTACCAACCATCCTATTTCATTTCCGCGAAGGAGCAGTAGCCGTTTGTGGCGACATCAAGGAAATGTTCCACCAGATTGTGATTCGGCCAGACGACAGATGCGCTCAAAGGTTCCTTTGGCGCGATGGTGATACTACAAGAGAGCCAGATGTCTATGAGATGATAGCGATGACATTCGGTGCAGCATGCTCGCCATGCGCTGCGCAATACATCAAAACTCTGAACGCAATGGAACACTCTGATAACGCCGCTCGAGCTGTCAAGGCAATCCTGGACTACCACTACGTCGACGACTTCGTCGATAGCTTCAGGAACGTAGAGGAAGCCATCACTGTATCTGTACAAGTACGAGCCATTCACCGAGACGCTGGGTTTGAACTCCGCAATTTTACTTCGAATTCGCCCGATGTATTTACTGCGTTGGGCGGTGTGGAAGCCACGATTGCAATCGCCAACAAAACGAGCTTGTCCATGGAAAAGGTCCTAGGAATGTTTTGGCAGCCATCAATAGACAGCTTTGTATTCAGGCTGAATTTCCACAATGTCGACAAAAGAGTTGTGTCTGGTGAAAGACGCCCAACGAAAATAGAACTCCGCAGCATCATTATGTCTATATTCGATCCGTTGGGATTTTTGAGCCACATTACAATTGCCGCTAAGCTAATCATGCGCGAAGTCTGGAGACAACAGTCGAGCTGGGACAGCCCTTTACCTGACGACATATCTGCCTCCTGGGAAAGGTGGCGTCAAGAACTGCCGGCGATGGTGGAATTGGAGATTCCGAGATTCTACTTCCGGAACGGCACACCAACACAACGTCAACTTCATGTATTCGTCGATGCCAGCGAGGAAGCCTTTGCCGCCGTAGCCTATTGGCGTGCCATCAATTCCACTGGTGAAGTCGAAATCGCCTTTATTTGCTCCAAGGCAAAGTGTGCGCCACTGAAGCCACTCACAGTTCCGCGCCTGGAACTCCAAGCAGCCGTGCTTGGCACACGTCTCCTTCAGACTATACGAGAAGAACATTCCGTGAACGCCTCCAGCTGCATGCTATGGACCGATTCAAAAACTGTTGTGAATTGGATCAAGAGTGAACATCGACGCTACAAGCAATTTGTGGCGCATCGGGTGGCTGAAATCTTAGCCACCACTACGCCATCAAACTGGAGATGGATCCCAACGGGTGAGAACGTCGCAGACGAAGCCACTCGTGCCGATGGAAGATCCAAGAATCGCTCCACCTCACGTTGGTTGTGTGGACCATCGTTTCTACTAGCCGAAGAGTCTAAATGGCCAAGTCAAACTGTCGTCGATAATAATCAGCCAGAAGTGGAAGAACTGCGTCCGAAATATGCCTTAGTCATTGTAAGTCCAAAATTTGTAAATTTTAACCGTTTTTCTTCATTCGGAAGACTAGTGAGAGCCATTGGTTGGGTATTACGGTTTGTACACAAGTGTCGCCGCCAACATGCAACCTTAAGCGAGCATGGCTTGACATCATTAGAGCTTGATGCCGCAAAGCGCGTTCTTTATCGTCACGCACAACAAGAAGCGTTCCAACCAGAATTGGAGCAGATCGAAAGTGGACACGCCATTTCCCGCAGCAGTTGTCTGTTTCAGTTGACACCATATTTAGATGATGAAGGAGTCTTGCGCGTAAAGGGACGTATCGACGCCGCAAGTTGGTTGCCTTTAGATACAAGGCGACCTGTAATTCTCCCATCCAAACATAGTTTGACGAAGCTTATTATTGCTCACTACCACCACGAGCTAAAGCATCAAAATGTCGAAGCGACTGTATGGGAAATTCGCCGCCGTTTCTGGATCCCTCGTCTGCGGCAAACTTTGCGGAACGTCATTGCCAATTGCTTTGTGTGCCGCCTGACTAAGGCAGCGCCTATTGCTCCAATCATGGGTCCTCTGCCAGCAGATCGACTCACACCATTCGTCAGGCCATTTAGCTACACTGGCCTGGACTACTTTGGACCTGTTAACGTCACGATCGGCCGCCGCCAGGAAAAGCGTTGGGTGGCGCTCTTCACCTGTCTCACGGTGAGAGCTATTCACCTGGAGCTTGCGTTCGATTTGAGCACAGACGCATGCATTGTGGCCATCCGAAATTTTACTAATCGCCGTGGTGTGCCAGTCCGACTACGATCCGACAACGGAAAGAATTTCGTTGGCGCTAACCGAGAAGCGAAAAGGTTTTCCGAAGTGTTTGATTGTGGTCGTGTGCAGGACGAGCTGTCATCAAAGGGCGTCGAATGGCTGTTCAACTGCCCTGTGAACCC